TGCAGCAAGAGGTCCTGCGCTCCGGCCGAGTGGTTTAAATTCCCTTGGAGGAAGCGCTTATGTCCAACCATTATGAGGACATGTGCGCTTCCTCCCCAGCCTGGCGGCTACTCACACTGGGGGCGGCCCTGGTCCGTTGGGCCGTCTTCCCCTTCGTAACGGGCGGGTGGCAATCGCCCCCGCCCATTATGTGCCCCGAGGGGCGCCCCGCATCCGCGCACACAGCGCAGCGCACAGTCTTTGCGCTGCACTCCGCGGACTGGTGCCCCTCGCCACCACAACGGTAGCAGAGGCGACCCCTCTCCGTCCCGGACGGGCACACCGGCCATGTGTGGCCGATGCCCATGCACCTGAAGCAGCGCAATGGGCGCTGCTCCAGGACTTGTACTTTGGCCGAGCTCCAGCCAACAAGAAGCCTGCCGGAGTCGACCACCACCTTGGCCGCCGTGGCCGGGCATCTGACCACAACCGAGCCTACTCCACCTCGCCCCGTGCGGATTTCTCCAACTTTGATGGAGTCCACGGGGTAGTTGGCCACCCTTGCGACCGCCTCCGCCACCTTCTCCTTGGAGGCCGAATCATCCAGGCCGTCCACCCGGAGATCGGCCATCTTTGCGGGGCGTGCAACGGTCGCTAACCCGTCCAGGACCTGGCGGAGTTTGGCCGCCAGCCTATCTGCCACCTCCGGCTCTACAGATGCAGGGAGCTCCAGGAGCCGAGCCCCTGTCGCCGCCACCCTCACTGACAGACCCCCCGTGATTCCTAGCTTTCGTAGGTCCACGCTCTGCTGGGCCCTTTCCAGGACCCTAGCATAAGTGACGCCCTTCGCGGCGGCCTCTTGCAGGACCGTTATTATCACCGCGGCCGTACGCGGCTGAGCGGGAACCTTGGGTTTCCGCGGAGCCTTCTGAGCCTTCGTTGCAGCGGGTGCGGAGGCTGAAGCGGGAGAGGCCGTCTTCTTTTTCTTCGCCCCGCCCTTTCTTACCACCGTGGCCCAGGTATCTCCTTCCGGGTTAGCGGAGCGACTCGGCCCGGCCACCGGTGGTGGAGGAGCTGGGGCAGCAGCTACGGGAGCAGGCGTAGGTGGGCGCGCAGGAGCCGCCGTCTTCCCCTTGCCCTTCCCTTTCCCCTTCCCTTTCCCCTTCCCTTTCCCCTTCCCTTTGCTTCCTTGGGCTGCAGAACTCCCAACTACCATAGCCGCAGCCGGCGCAGGCACTTGCCTCACAGGGGAAGATCTCGGGGCAGGGCTCGGGGCAGCCACTGGCGCAGCCGCTTCACGACGCCTGTCCGCCGCCAGTGGGGGACGCATTGTCTTCGCCGGGAGAAGACGCTCCTCGATCCCGGCAAAACGGGCGTCAATAAGCGTCCCCACTGAGGCGACTATCGACGCCTTGAACTCCTCCAACCAGTCTCCTGCGAAGGTATCGGAAGGACCAGCCTTTGACGCCGACAACTCCTTCCTGAGTTCACAGAACTCCCTGCGGTGCGCCTTCAACTCCGCCTTCAAAGCCTCCGTCTCACAACGAAGGCGAGCGTTGTCCTTCTGGAGGTGGTGGACCTCCTCCGCCACCGTGCGCCCCGCTAGGGCTTCCACCACCTTTTGCAGCGTGGCGGCAGACTCCTTGAGCATCTTGACCATTGTGCCCTTTAAATTGCCCGATTTCCGGGCCACCTCCAAAACTGCCGCCACACTCTGACCAGCGAGCACCTTCAGTTCATCGGCCGTTAGCTCAGCCGGGTCTTTCTGGGCCGGGGCTTCAGACGCCGACACCTCAGAGTCCGTTGGCACAGATGTGCCAGCCTTACGGACCTTGGATGCGCTTGTGCCCGCCTTAACAAAAGCACGCTGGTTTAAGCACCTCTCAAATTCCGCCTCTCTCGCTTCTTCCTCCATGTTCTTGAGCTCACGTCGTGCACGAGCTATACCAGTACCTCCTGTACCTGGTTTACCCCCTTCTTTGCGTGCCTTCGCCTTTCTGGCGCTGACCGTCCTTTCGGTCTCAGTTTCTGAACTGGACGAGATCGCCATAGTCTTCTGGGGCCTCTTACGCCCCACCGAAGCGTCCGTAAAACACCCATCCGAATCGCTTCCCTCCGAAGCCAAATCAACCACGCCAGACACTGGCCTATACGTCACACCGCCCGTCACAGGCTCCACATCAAAGTTTTGGTTTTTTGTTTTATTTGAAGATTCCATAATTAGATCCCACGAGTATGGGGGAAATACTCCGTCCATCCGTGTGGTGTCCCCTGCACCCGGATAAGCCTTCGATAACCCGCCCAGAGTGTCGGCCGGTACTCTGGCGGGGGAAGCAGTAGGGACCGATCTTCCCATCGGCCACGCATCCCCTCGCGCTGCTTCTCCGCTTGGGATTGGGGTAATTTTTTAGAGAGGTTTTCTTCCTCGCAGCCCGGGCGGTTAAGCCAAGGCCCTCGTTCCCAGTCCCGGCCGCTAGACGTGATCAACGACACCAGGAACCGGGATTACGAGTTGAGGGGGGGGGTGCACCCTGGTGCATGTCCGGCTGCGCAATTAAGCACCCGCCGGACCCGCCCCACCTCGCGCTTTTCTGTCAGGGTGTGCTCCCTTAGGCCGTGGGGTTAACAAACCCCTAAAGGCACGCCCATGCCTGCTGGTTTTGGTCCGCGCCGGTCAAGACCGGTACCACCAATGTGGTGGCATTCCCCTATCCGCCACCCGGGGGACGCGCCCAGTAGCAGTCCAGCAACTGCCCTGAGGACAAATGCAACCCCAAATGTAACTATTCAATGGACTACAGGTAATTTGTAAGAAGAAAGTTTTTTAATAACATATTCGATTAAACAATTTATTAAAAAAAAAAGTTGATTTTTTAAAAACCTGCTCGACCGATTTCGATAAAATTTATATGGGATCACCTTTGAAAAAAAAATCCAAATCGATTCAGGCGTCTTCGAGTAATCGGTGAACATACATAAAAAAAAAAAAAAACGAATTGAGAACGTCCTCCTTTTTGGAAGTCGGTTAATTAGAAAGGAATATTAAGTCATGGAAAAATCCTGTCAAGTACAAAAAGTTGAACTTACATAATTGGTAAGTTTTAAAGTGTTTATTTAACGTATAATTATTTTTTAATCAATCTTACCCAAATACTCAAGAAATTGTGACAAAGAATTTAATATTTAATAAACAGTAAATCTGCCAAAATATATTTTAAATGCAATTATCTTTTTAGTTTTTTCGCGTATTTATTTTGATTTTTGGTTGTTTCGAACCGATCCGAATGCTTTAAATCAATCATGGTAACGGGAGAGACTGTCTCTCCTGTGACCATGAATATTTAAATCTAAGAAAGTATCACCAATATATAATATTGTGTGGTAACAAAATAATTTTCCAAGTAATCAAAGTCGACCGGTCTAAAGGTTCAAGTCAAGGCAATATGGCGACCTCGTCTCAAACCGATACGCGTTACACAATTTGTACAAGCGCACTCATGTTTCGATAAATGCCGTTGAATGCATTATGATTACTGACCATCCGTCAGTCTATCTATTTAAATATAACGATTTCAGTCTTATTTTGCATGTTTTAGGGATCTAGATGATACTGGAATGGGAATCTTTAGAATCGTTGTGATTTGAAACTCGATAAAACGTAAATGCAATACTAATAAAAAGAGACAAACACATAAATATATAGGATTAAGCCGGCGAGAGAATGAGATAGAATACATTGCCATGTTGCCATGGTAACCGTTGTTGTTTGAGATAGAATACATTACACAGGAAGTGAAAAATAATAAAATTAATTACTGAATAATATGTAATGTATATTTATATCAAATGAAATGTAAAATAACTTTGAAACTTGGTAGAAATATTATACAAAAAACCTTATAATTATCCTACTCCTGATACTCTATATTTATCTCATTCTTTTCATTCAATTGTACACATGTAGTTTTTTTTTAAATCTATCATCAATCTTCTTGCTATAGATTAATATCTAATACTTTCTTAGATTTATGCTAATTTTTAACATTTTAAATAAAACTATAACCAAACCACCAACCAAAAATAAAAATTAATACGCAAAAAAATCCTAAAAGATAGTTTTATTTAAAAAGATTATTACCTTACAAAATAATATTAATATATCCTACTAAAATCATTTTAAAGTATTTATTGCATCGTTAGGAGTGTTTTTTTAAATATATAAAGTAAACTAAAACACAAATGAACTGAGTACCTTTTTCTTTTGAACTTGGTTAAAAAGTAGCCCAAGTCACTCCAGTCTCGTGACAACTATGAGTATGCAAATCGCATCGTCTTCTGGCAGCGATGGAGGCATAGAAGATGGATAAACAAACAAAAATACTTTTTTCAAAAACGTATTTATAATTTTTCTAGTAACACTCAGTATCGGTTAGTCAATCTGTAAATATGCAATAACATTAGATTTATTAGCAACAACTTTTTAAATACAAGGTGTATAAGGTTTATTTATGTATGTATGTGTGACTGTACACTTAGGCGAAGCTAATCGATAGTAATCTAAATATGTATATTAAATAAAACTATTTTATCGGATTTTTAGTGGATTTATTTTGATTTTTGATTCCCGAATTTTTCGAATTGCGATTCGAATGCTTTAACACTTCCAGATAAATTTCTAAGAAATTAATTAAATTTCTAAGAAATCTATTGTTAACTGTAACGCCGGCGTGTCCGAGGTCGTGGAGGGATTAAGGATCTTGCTAATCTTGCATAAAATAACTTTTGCATTCTTCCTGATACAAAATGAGCGTAGCGTATCACAATTCTTTGGTACCAACACATAAACAATTATATATTTACATTCATACGTAGGCGTGATGTCAGAAATATGTACCTACATATGACAGTATTTTGTAAAGGATCGAGATACACGGTCTCTTTTTAGACGTTTAACATTCAACTAATTTTTTTTTTAATTTTTATGTTTTTTAATTTAGTTAAGTCAGAGTGGCGTTCCGGTCATGGTTAGATTGCGACTACGTTTTATTATGATCTCGGCGTTTGGACGGTCTTGTTGTGTGATTAAAACGCACTGACTCATTTGTAATTGCCTCCAAGTGACAGATCATACGTAGTAAAGGTGTTTGTAACAGAAGTGTCAAGTGTTCATTTATGTGTAATGTGTTCTAACAGTTAAATTGTTGTAAGTTTTCTTTCTATGGAATACAAAATTTGCTTTCGTTTTTGGTAATGTATACAGTTATGTTCGGAATTCTATTGTAAAGAAAAGAATTGTGTGATTTTAGACGAATTCGCGGTGAAAGACTTGAAAATAATTTTGCGAGATGCTTCGTTATTGCATGTTAATAGACTTATTTACACAATATATATCAATAATTTGGTTATATTACTTTCAAGTATGAAGACAAATTACTATACTATAAAGAATTCGATGCAAAAATGAGCTTAAAAAAACATGTTTATGTTGTAATTGAGGGTATGTAATATTTATCAAAGATCAATATAAAATATCAAACTTATTTTTATATGCCTTTTGTTACTAATATTTTTTTTAAACTTAGGCTGTATCGAAAGATATGGTAGCCTCTGTTGCCGTACTAGTAGATCTGTGTTCTGGCATACAGCGCCTCAAGTAGATATCTGTTTTTATCAATTACTAATATTGCCCGCGGTTCCGCCCGCGTTCAGATGACCAAAAACCAAATTCTAAGGTTAATAATGCCTATTTCAATAAGACTTTTCAAAAAAATATTTAATGTACAGATTCGGCTTAGTTACAATTTTATTATATGTATAGATAAGCCATTTGATACAAAGCGAGGGTTTTTTTAACATTCCAAAAGGTATTTTAATGTATTACCTCCATTACTAAAAATAGATACTAAAAATATTACATTAAGATTTACATTAAGAGACAGTCTCTTAATTAAAACATATTTCTGAGATTTCGAGATTTAACTGTTATACTTAATTGATTTCGTGCAACGCTAAATCTGGTGAGATTGTGTTAAAGTCTAGACGAGAAGTGAATATTCTGTTATTTCGCTATAATATTGTAATTAATATATGCACTGTATAATTTGTATGTAGACTGCCTCGGTGTTTAGTTATTGAGTCTTTCTGTATAGTAAGCCTCAGTAACAGCCCGGACTTGGGAAGTTGGTGGTGTTTCACCCCCGTGCCTCGGAGAGAACGTAAAGGCATCGGTCCTGCGCCTTAACTCTCCCACCAGAGTATGAGAGTGACAGGAATAGAGAGTGCACTTTGTGTCTGCGCGTACACTTGTGCACTATAATATCTCCTGCGCAGTTGGCTAGTCTCAATGAGATTGGCCGCCGTGGCCGGAATCGGTCAGGGTAACATCATCAATTTGTTTATTTATTTTGTAAATTGGAAAACAGGCAGCATATATAAGCATCAAATTCAAAACACATTAGAATTAATACACTTGCCAATAAAGTTTTCACTTAAACATTAATATAGCTAAAATAAAAAAGAAAATATAAAAATAATATTTATCAGACTCTAGTGTCTTTTTAAGGTGTTTAATGACAAGATAGTGATAATGTGGTATCTCCGCATATGGCTAAAAAACAATATGGCTAAGAAAACAAAATTTCAGGGTTAAAATAATTAAAGCAATTATTCGCACCACCGTGTTAAATGCGTAAGTTTTTACGCGTGTGTGTATGTGACGCTAAAACTGCTAAACGTATTTGGATGATTTTTTTACACAGGTAGACTAAAACTGAGACGCAACTGAGCAAAACGAGGCTAAGTCGCTGGTTTATTCAAATAACTAAGCTTTCAATTCAACAGTTATAAAATACTAGCTTTTGCAAATTATTTTAACTATACCTTTAAAAGTTACGTGTTATTCTGATGTATGAGCTATATTACTGTAGAGTTTCATCAAAATCCGTTCAATAGTTTTTGCGTGAATCTATCCATCATACTAGTATAGGATATGAATTAAAGTATATCTACTATTTTAGTAAAAGTCGAATATTTAATTTTTATTGCTCTATAAGTTACAACTAACATTGGCCTTAAATTTACATTTTCTAAAAATATAAAGTTGAACGTTTAAAACAGGATATTTTAAACAGCTTGACATTTAAAAAACGATTTATTTCTTTTAATTATTATATGTGTAAAAATATGTTTTAATTTTTTTGAATGAACAAAATAAAACAAGGAAGTTCGAATATCTATAGGTACATATAATAAAATTGTAACTAAGCCGAATCTGTACATTAAATATTTTTTTGGAAAGTCTTATTGAAATAGACATCATTGATTATTATCGATACAGAGGCTGAATCTATAGTTTTTAGAATTTTTGTCTGTCTGTCTGTATGTGATCGTATCACGGAAGCTTTTGGATTTTGATCAAAATCATGACCAAAAACCAAATTCTTAGGTTTTACATATTAGTATACTCTTACATTGCAGTTTTTGTATTTTTTCTTAAATATGAGATATTTTCCCGCGGTAAAAAGTATCCTATATGTTGACCCAGATAACTAGCTATCACCATACCAACTTTCATCAAAATTCCTCCAGTGGTTTTTCTGTGATGCGGTAACAGGCAGACAGGCAGACAAAAATTCTAAAAACTATAGATTCGGCCTCTGTATCGATAATAATGTTTATTTCATTAAGATTTTCGAAAAAATATCTAATCTATAGATTCGGCTTAGTTACAATTTAATTATATACATAGGTATAGATTTTGTTTTCATCAAAACTTTCTTCTTACAAATTACTTGCTTATTACGTCTACACTAAAAATGGAAAAATAAAAACTTAAAAAAAAAACTACTTTCGGGCATTAAAAATTAAAAAATAACTAAACGGGGGGTTTCATTTAAAATTATTACCTAATCAGATATTTTCGAAGTCAGTGCCAGCCGATGCAAAGCAAAACAAATCTATTTCGATACGTATAATTGGATGACGCAAACAAATCTATTTCGATACGAAATTGATGTATAATATTTTAACTTTAATTATCAGAGTTCATACCTTATCCTATTAGATATTTATATCTTAAATCATTGTCGACTTTCTGAAATCTTTAAAAGTAAACTAAACAACAGTCATTTAAAATGAAATTAAGTATTTAACATTATATTCGTTAATTTATATATTCTTATATATTCTGATAATAAGTACCTAAGGTTTATTGATTTTAATACAAAATAAAAATAATTATTATATTCTCTTCACAATTTATATTTTACTAACGATTCATTCGGGTTCATCTCTAGACACGGGAACCGTACATTTTTACGGGATAAAAAGAAACCTATGTGCTATTCCAGACTATAATCTATCTCTGTGCCTAATTTCATTCATCCATCCATCCTCACAAACTTTCAGATTTACGATATTAGTATAGATTATTTAAATATTTTTTAATTATATATTAACATTTAAGACAAACATGTCAGCTGCTTAAAACAGCTGGATAATTTTAAATAAAGCTGGATAATTTAAAATTGGTAGTTTTATTTAAAATGTCAAATATTCGCGTAAATCTAAGAAAGTATTACAGCTGAATAATTTTAGTTTGTTTTTAAATATTATAGCACGTTTTATTACAACAAAACAAAAGGCAAGTGTAGAGATATAATATTTTATAGGTTTTTTTGAGGTTTTTTAAGGTTTGACTCCGGTTTATTGTTACATAGAATAATTTATGTAATAAATTAATTAAAAAAATATTTTATTTAAATACCAAAAATGTGGACTTAGTATACAGCTTTTTATTCATGCGTTTTTATTGTTGCCATTGTATTATTTTCAAATTAATTTTATAGAAATCCCAAGAAAAAAAATGTTATTCTACTAACATTAATATGTTAACAACAGTCTTGTTAATAATATCTATGGGAAAAATAATATACTTACCTTAATATAAATAAAGGAAGGTAAGCACATAAAACAATCCTTATTAGCTTTTGGTGATTATCAAGTTCTGTACATAATAGTTTTTATTTAATTTATTTTTTATTACATATAATTATCATACATCTTATATCTGTAAACAAGCAATTCTTGTATATATTTATATAATCTGAATTTCGGAAACGGCTCCAACGATTTTCATGAAATTTAGTATACGATGGGTTTCGGGGGCGATAAATCGATCTAAATTAGTTTTATATCTGGGAAAACGCGTGTTTTCGAGTTTTAGTGCAGTATTCTTGTGCAATATTCACGCAAAATATGGTCGGTAATTTGCACGCTCGGGCATAAGCATCGTGTTCAAGCGGCCAAAATGCAAGATCAACAATCACAGGTGTCCAGGTTCGAATCTCGGTCGCATACAAAGTTCTTACTTTTTTTTAAATATTTATTCAGGTTATTAGTTTAAAAAAATGTACTTTAGGCCAGAAACTCCGTGCGAAGCTCGGTCGCCCAGGTACTAGGTAATAAAAAGACATCCTTAATATTTTTTACGATTAATTGAAAACTGTAAAAAACTATATTTTTGCTGTTTGAAATAAATTAAAGTTACCATATTATATAAAACTAGCGACTGGTACGTTTTAACGGTTAGTATAGATTTCTCAGAGATGACATATTTTCCCGCAGTAAAAAGTATCCTATTTGTTGTAGCTATTATCGTACCAAATTTCATCGAAATCTATCCAGTGGTTTTTTCGTGATGCGTTTCCAAACAGACAGACCGACAGCCAGACAGACCGACAGACAAAAAATATAAAAATTATAGATTCGACCTCTGTATTGATAATAATGACTAATTCAATAAGATTTTTTTTTAAATATTTAATGTACAGATTCGGCTGTTACAATTTTATTACATGTACCTATAGAAAAAGTAAAATCTTTTCAAAAATACCTGCTAATCTTATGAAATTTGGTTAAAAATAAAAGGTGTTTAAGAATTAAAAGTGCATTATTCCAAATTATCGAAAGGTTTCAAGGATATATCGAGAGTTCATTCACATTTCCAAATAAATCGACCCTGTCCTCGTTCGCGATATGAGGTTTTTCGTCGTTTTTGCGTCAAGAGGCTATGTTAGTGAAAGGAGACTACACTCGTATCCACAAACAATGTATTGCTTCTACGAATATAATTGTAACATAACATGTAAAATGTACTGCAGTTTAGTATCTTTTACTACTCGGTGGTGTAGTGGCTAGCATGTACGGCTGCACACTCGGAGGTCCTGGGTTCGAGTCCCGGGTCGGGCCAAGTTTAGTTATTGAGTCTTTCTGTATAGTAAGTCTCAGTAACAGCCCGGAGTTGGGAAGTTGGCGGTGTTTCACCCCCGTGCCTCGGAGAGCACGTAAAGCTGTCGGTCCTGCGCCTTAACTTTCACTGGTCGTGTCGAGCAGTCGTCCCACCGGAGTATGAGAGTGACAGGAATAGAGAGTGCACCTGTGTCTGCGCGTACACTTGTGCACTATAATATCTCCTGCGCAGTTGGCTAGTCTCAATGAGATTGGCCGCCGTGGCCGGAATCGGCTAGGAGAACATCATCATTCCTGGTGGCAAGTGGAACACTGTAGTTGGATGACCCACTGAGTATAGCTAACACTACGTCGCAATGTTTTGATAGGTGCTGAACTCGATACAAAAAAATATGGACTATACAAGTAAATATTTGAATTGGTGCAGAGTTATCTATATATATGAAGAGAATGAAATATTGTCCATTAGGGCGCACTGAGGCAGCGAAACGCAATTACGAAATAATTACGTTCGTTTGATCCCTTGCTGTATTGTTATTACTAAAACTTAAACTATGCATATAATTTGTAAGATATTTAAGGATTTATTCTATAAATAATAAACTTTAGAAACACGATTACTTGTAGTTTCCTCGATCGAAAAAAAACCAAAATGATCTTTAAAAAAAAATAAACCCTTAGAGCGGCGTAAATAATTCAAGGAAGTTCATACGTTTTTTAATAATAATAAAACTATATGTTTTCGATATCGTATACACTTTAAATTTGAAAAATCTGTATTTGTTTTAATAATATGAAGGAGATACCTAAATTCGCACGCGTTCCGTCCGTCCTAGCCACACTCCTCCCTGCCCGCTTTCGTCCTACTAAAATCGATTAGCGCCAAAAGCTCGGTGCCCTTGCGCCGGTGCCCGGTGACTTTGTGCAAAGGACAAATTACCGTCTTTGAAACATTGTGTTAAGAACATTCATATTATAATCGATATTACAAGTTTGTAAGGTAACTTGTATCTTAAACCGCTATACATACATATATTATGTATGTTAAAATTAGGTTAAAAAAGAATATTATATCCGTTTTCAATCATATTTTATCTTTTTAAAATAAATAAATGTTGGGACATTAACACACAGCGCCATCTAGTTCCATGGTAAGCTACGAGGCTTGTGTTATGGATACCAGATAGTTGATACACTACATATATATAACTTTAAATACATACATATTATAAATATTAACACCCATGACTGGAGTACAAACATTCGTACTCATCACACAAATGAATGCCCCCAGCGGGACTCGAACCCGCGACCGCTGGCACAGCAAGTAGGGTCACTACCAACTGAGCCAAACGTGTCGTCAAAACACGTTTTTTATAAATATAAAACAAATGTAAACGAAGCATTGAACCCATAAACGGTTATTTATGAGGACATAAAGGGGAGAAGTTTAATAAGCGGAGTTTTGAGGAGCCCAAGCGGAGAAATCGTATAATTTCTAACGTTTGTATCGAATCAAATATTTATATCGAATTATTTCAGGGCCAAATAACTGACAAATCAAAAAACCAAGTAACATTTAACAAATGAAATGCAATTGGTATTTAGAAAACCACTACTTTTAACTAGAATCTTAACAAACATTATACCAATAACAAAGTTTTTTACTAATCGCATTACCTAAGTACTATTTGACTGATTTGGTCCTTCTTAAATAAAACTTTCAGATTTTGTCGCTATATTTTGATTTTGGTTCCCGACATTTCGAATGCTTTACAACAATCTTGGTCATGGGATCTCTCCCATGTCCCAGTCCACCAGCCTCTCCTATGATTATTCATCATTCTCTCCTGTGATTGATTGCTGTATCATAGTTCACATGATTAAAAAAAAATCAACTGTCATTAACTGTGCAAGAAAGAAACAAATAACACAACTCTACAAAAAAAGAGATTGTTTTTGTGCATACATTTATTTTGTGATTTTTCTATTCATTATAATTTAAAATAAAGGAAAAATACCCATATTCCTTAATAAGTTTGCTTTTGTGGTAGTTATGACAGGTAAATGCTTAGTGAGAGAAAGTACTCATAAACATGAAAGATAGAAAGTAATAGAGTTAATTTTTACACTTTTTTCTACTATTTTGTAATTCTTTGTATTTTTTTTTGTAATTTAATATGATAATAAAAGTTGATAAACATGTAGGTATATATAAATATATTTGTTTCGATTTATTTAGAAATAAAAATTTAAACTATGGATTTTCTAAAAAATTAAAATATTAATCAACCGTTTTCCTACAAAAGCAACCTTATTCAGGCCATATATATATATTTTGTTTCATTTATCGATAAATCTATCGAAATTTCATACTCTTTTAGCAAAATCAAAAGTCGTGTGTGACCTATTTAATTTGGCCCAATATCACTTCGATACAATTTAGATACGGATATTGGGCCGAATATTGGTCCATCACCCAGTTAAACCACGATTCGGCGCATCTCTAGCTTTTATTATCATTACCAATAACCACATAAAGAAATAAACAAATACAAACCAGTTTATATGTTAGTGATACATCCAACAGGTGTAACCATGTACGAGAGTTTCCTCGAGATCGCATTCGAGGCTGAATTGAATACAAAAGAGGACCCCGAGCTACTCGCGATCGCTCACGAACAATGCAACGAGAATGCCGCGACCAGGGCTACATCTATCGCGGAATTGCGAAAAATGATATTTGGTGAGTCTTTTTGTACTAAAAACTATATTTGACTTATCATAATATAATTTACAATAAAGAAAATTACAAATATACTTAATTATGCATATATACAAAATCCGCCCGCGTTCAGATGACCAAAAACCAAATTCTTAGGTTTTACATATTACTATACTCTTACAATGCAGTTTTTGTATTTTTTTCTCAGAAATCAGACATTTTCCCGCGGTAAAAAATATCCTATATGTTGACCCGGATAACCAGCTATAACCATACCAAATTTCATCAAAATCCCTTGAGTGGTTTTTCTGTGATGCGGTAACAGACAGACAGACAAAAATTCTAGAAACTATAGATTCGGCCTCTATGGCGATAATAAAGTTTATTTCAATAAGATTTTCCAAAAAATATCTAATGTACAATTCGGCTTAGTTACAATTTTATTATATGTATAGATTTAGTGTCGAGCTTTTACTGGCTGGCGATAGCTTCTTTAATTTGTTGTAATGACACTTCAGTTAGAGGGAAGAAATAAAAAAAATGAGCCAGACAGCATACAAACATACATTGTAGAGTTTTATTTTAGCTAAAAGTAAATAAGTTAATAGGACGTGTAAAATGCAAACTAAATCACAGATACACTTGGAGTTTTATCAAATATAATATTACAAATACAAAAGGTACCTTACGCTAGTGATTAATTTATATATAACTAGCAACTCACTCTCACTTCGCTCGGGTTCGTCCCTAGCTTGCTTCCCAATACCAACTTTTATCCCCATTTTCATCCCTTTAAGGGATGATTTCCGGGATAAAATTTCCTATGTCTATCCCAGGGTCTCAGACTATCTTCTTACCTTTCATCTAAACCTGTTTAGTAGATCCATAGAATATTCCCTACAACGTCACAAACTCACAAACCATACCTATGTATAGATCAGTTTTTTAAACTTATATCCTTGTCGCTATTCGTAATAATATGGAAATTCCATATTATAAGCTATAGCGTAAAAAAACCTATAAAGATGAAAAATACAAAATTTTGTATGAATATGTGTTTGTTACTCCTTCTCGCTGAAAATACTAAACAGGATGACAGTGGCAGACAGTTAAAAAATCAGACTATAACCTGGGAAAATATACTGGCTACTCGTCGCCTTAGTGCATATTTGTGTAAACGATCAAATCTTTTGTACTTTACAGTAGACTTTTTTCTTTTAAATATTAATTTAAAACAAAGCTTTATTTCTAAGATTTGTACACATATATAGATAAAATACATTTTTTCGGGTTTTTTTTAATAGAAAAATGTGTATTTAATACCAAAAAAATTGATATTCAATGGTTATTTAATTGTATTAAAACCTTACAGTAAATGGCTCGTTTGGACAAAAAAGCACTGAGACGACGGATTCTTAGTATTAAAAATTGGTAAGAGATGGCGCTGCCTGTATATAAAATTATAATAATTTAATACAAAACACACTTTCAGACAGAGGACAATGCACGCCGCACCGGACCGACGACGCGTTCCTTCTAAGATTCCTTCGAACAACAAACTTTATTGTACCGCGGGCACATAGACTTGTACGTTTTTTTTTCTACTTCTATGATTTTTTTAATCGCAATCGCAATTTTTTTCTAACGCATTTTTTTTTTACTTTTTGAATGTACTAATAATTGGTGGCGGGCAGATTAGAATTCTTATCTTTCTTTTCTTACATCCGTATTATTAATTATTATAAAAACTTAAAAAAAAAAAGATTTCCAGGCACTAAAGTGTAAAAAATAACTAAACGAGGGTTTTCATTTAGAATAGATACCTAATCAGATATTTTCGAAGTCGGTGCCAGCCGATTCAAAGCAAATCTAATATATTTCGATACGTAAAATATATTACGATGCCAGATAGCTTACGACATGCCTCAATAAGCTGGCTATAAAATGCAAAAATAATTAATTATTTTAATAGGACTGATACTCGTAGTTCAACTGATTAAATCGTTCACACAAGCAAATTCTTAGGCTTTATATATTAGTATTAGTATAGTATTATATGATCTATGATATTAGTATAGATTAAGAATATCGCGTATTATAGTCCAAATTTTGAGGACTACAGCTATTTATTAAAGGCCTCTTACGATTGTCGAATTTCGATCACAAAGCGTACAGAAGTTCATAGTTACATTTTATTACATTCTTTAACCTTAAACTGCGCTTATCGCCGTTCTAATTAGATTCATAACATATTCGATGATGCAACGTCGACGTCAACGAGGACGCAAATCTTGGCACATTTATAGCATACACAATGTATAGACACGTTTGGATGTGACTAAGCCGTGATATCTCATCGCTTAACTTTTATCAAATTTAAAATTATACACTAGCCTGCAGCTCCATTAGGGTGTCGATAAAAATAATCTGGAGGATTTTTTAGATGTTGCACAGTATTTCGAAACATTATTATCTCATATATATTAAACTTACAAAACAATAACAAATCTATCCCGCGGGAACGATACATTTTTCTGAGAAAGAAAGTAGCGTATATGTCATTCCAGACTAGAATCTGTCTCTGTGCCAAATTTCATTCAGATCCGTTCAGCCGTTCATGTGTGAAAGAGTAACAAAAATCCATAGTCACAATCTTTCACATTTATAATATTTATAAAGATTAATAAATTTACCCGTATTTTAAGACACTGGTAAGAAAAATGCTTCTTATTAAACAGAATCAAAATCTATTGCGTAAAAAACTAAGCACCCAAATATACAAAATGTGAATGGCGATTTTTTACAAGCTTTTATTTAGATTCACTAATCTTGCAAGTTAGATTTGATCTAATTCCTAGTGTCCGATTAAGCTGAAATGTGGCGCACTAGCTTGGTTCTCGATACAATGCACAGTTATCTAAATGCTGCCATTTTTAATACAATATGGCGGAAGTTACAAAATGGCAATTTATAATTTCCACATTAACCTCCATGATATGGAAATTAAATGAAAGGGTTTGCTGAGAAGAATACGAACAAAATAAAAAACTACAAAATAAAAGTTTCAAGTCGGTATGACAATTAGAAGTAGGTCAAAAAGACTAATTTGATCTCTGAACATACTTCTGATTTTCTCGAAAAACGGACGGTTACATGAATATTTTATCAATTTTAGAACTATAAAAACAGAACCTTCAAATTTTAGAACTCTTTATATACCGTACATGTTACTGTGGTGCATTAAAATCCAAACAAGGGCAAACATCAATATATGGCCAATACATAAAATTATCTTGTGGCAAATAAAGTCACGGCCTCTGGCGTTATAGCCGATACCTGTGATATTATCCTACTTTGCCATGAAGGTCATACTCATTTAACTTGTACCAAAAAGTTATATCATTTTTCTTAATTAAAGTTTTTAATGTGTTACTTTCTATATAGTAGGTTTGCACATATCCCCTCCAACGTGCATTCACCTCATTAGCGTCCGGCAATCCAGCCGGGCGCGAAACTAACAAACGCACTCGGTACTGGCGGCTCACTTTGGTGGGCGACGTGCTATAATTCTCTGATAGCAGAGTGTCATGAGAGCAATCCCATGGTTATTATAGTCTGCTTTGGCAAGCTAGCCGTCGGAGCGTCGTGGTTGAGTGCGTAAGCAACCCTGCGACGCCCCATTAATACAGGGGAGGTTTCGTTGGGTTTTAGTGGGTAGTACTAGCTTTGCCGTTGAGTCCCACAGAACTACCTGTATGCGTTGCAGTTGGTATACTTAAATGCATTTCCCAACGTTAAAAAAAAGTTTGTACTTATAATGCTGTTGTCTTCAGTTCATTACAAAAATATTTTAAAATTTACTTTAATAATTTAGTTGCAAAGTTATTTTTAAGGTGGTTTTAAAGACTTTTGCATTTAAAGTATTTATGTCTCATATTATTTACTTACAGCTAGTCCGATACTATACATTCCGGGAACAGTACCCACACCTGTACAAGGGGGTGGACCTGTGGGGCCTTATGAAAGTGAGGGATGCGTACGAAGGCTCTATGCTGGATCGACCTGATGTCGGAAGACTTACCGTATTAAAATTTGGTAATTACTAACATATTACTTTCTTATTTATTATTTTTATGTAATAATAACACGCGTAAAATTATAGCGTAACTACGAGTATACGTACTTTTGGCTAAAAACTTGGTCGTGCGATCGAAACTTAAATCTTTTCTACGAGAATATATATGAGATGTTGGCAATCTGTCAAAGTGTCATAGAATTTAAAATTGGTTGGATTTAACAAACAAAATAAATTACATCAATTTTAACATATTCTTAAACTATCATATCGAATTTGTTTACAGTAAATTCGTGTTATTATGTGCAAATTCTCAATATTTTAACTTATCAACACATAAATCATAATCGTTCTAACTAAAAACTTGGCCGTGAGATGGAAACTTAAATCTTTTATACGAGAATATGAAAGTCAAACTGACAAAGTGTCATGAATTTAAAATAAGTAAGGTTTTTCTTAGAACTCGGTTCTGTTAAACTATCTATTAACTATAGAAGACTTCATATTGCTTTTGAAATATGTAGCACAATAAAAATAGTATTATTTTTGGTATAAAATTATAGTTAAGTTTTATTTGTAGTAATGTTTATGCATCGTTTTCATATCTAATACGTAATATTTACATTACAATGAATAAAAACCACAAAACACAAAGAACGGACGTCAAATAAAAAAAAATATCTGTTCGGTAATTAAGAATTGTATGATATACTAATAAGTTAATTTATTAAAAACAAGTGCGAGTCGGACTCGCCCACCGAGGAGGGTACCGTACAAATTGGTAGGAAATCTGTTCAACTTTAATTTTCAACTTTTTTATTTATTTTTTTTTTTTCTTTATTTGTGCTGTAAGACCTTGCATTTTGAAAATGTTCGTAATTCTAGATCAACGGGAACTACCATATAAGTTTTCGATCAAAAATCTATAGGGTACTTCCGGTTGACCTAGAATTGTCAATTTTGGTTTACCAAAAAATTGATTTTAATAGCAAGGTCTTATACAGTACAAGTAAAGGGAAAATTCCGAAAAATAACAAAAGTTAAAAATTAAGGTAGACAGACAGACGGACAAGAGAGTGATCTTATAAGGGGTCCTTTTTTACCTTTTGAGGTACGGAACCTTAAAAAGAGCTAGAAAGGATCACAACTGGTCGATGTAGCAAGGACCGATATCACTTCACTTCCTAATAATAATAATAAATATGTTCACAGCGCCATCTAGTTGAATGGTAAGCTAAGAGCCTTGTGTTATGGATACATGAGGATAGTTGATACACTACACACAAAATAAAATTTAAATACATACATAAATAATATTATAAATAAAAACACCCATGACTGGAGTACAAACATTCGTGCTCATCACACAAATGAATGCCCCCAGCGGGAATCGAACCCGCGAACGCTGGCACAGCAAGTAGGGCACTACACACTGAGCTAAAAGTATCGTCATTATATACTTATTAACATAGCATTTTAGAAGATCCTCCATCTTTTTTATTAGTCGCATTCCGATCTGACTTTTCAAGTTAGGATAACCGTTTTATAAATATAACGGCGTTTAATAATTACATTTGATTCATTTGATTATGGCTTTTAGTGCCAGTTTAGTCAAGGTCAAGAAGGAAAAGAGGTTTTTGTATAGATATCAAATGTTGACGTTCAAATATTAAGATCATAATATTTATAATGTAAAAAAAAACTGGTTTCGTAAGTAATGTATGTACAAGTATATTGTTCAACTAATCATTCCAGAACAGGATTTTTTAGGGTTCCGTAGCCAAATGGTTAAAACGAAACCCGACGACATGGCCGTATGTATGTATGTCACAGCTATTTTGCTCGAAGACTATTAGAGCATGCATGGCTAAGATTTGGTAGTTAGATCTATAATGTAAATCACTAGACAATAGGGAAAATGCGTTTGATTTAAATAAACCTGTATTAATATTTTTAGTGTAACTTCTTTTTGATTGAGAAAATAATTATTAGAAAGAGCAAATATAGTTGGGAAATTTAAAGTAGTTGAAACACACGCCATTGGTCAGACCGAATATGACGTCAAAGTATTATCATAATAGAGCGTTTAGTGATTTTGACGCTACAAATTGAGTCGTCATTTTTCTGTGTATATCATACTGTGACATCAGGCCAAGCGTGCGAAATGGCGGGCGTTTAAAATATCCGTATCGGTATGATATTTTGCAATTTTTTTTAATTATATAAAATTTATTGTATAAAAAAACATATTCCTTATTCCGTATATATCCTTATTACGCATATTTCTTATTCCGTAGTCAAATTACAAAAAAAATAGGGATGGCGCTCCATACATGTAAGTGAGATATGAAAAAAAATATAAACCTGCAGTATCTCTGGTCTTTAAAATTTATATTTGTCTAAACTAATCATTGCACAGTTATATACTTAATATACGAGTATGTTTCTAAAATCGTAAACATTCTGAGTGAGATTTAGACTCGCACGTGTAGCCTTTTTGTACTGTTCGTATAAAAAACTAAAAGGTCAAAAACCGAAGAGTGGGTCTAGTAATCTCGGCTACGTAGTTGCTTACTAAATATCAATACAAACAATGATCAACTCGTGGACAGTAAATATACATATAATAAAATTCTAAATAAGTCGAATCTGTACATTAAATATTTTTTTGAAAAATCTTATTGAAACAGACATTATTATCGATACAGAGGCCGAATCTATAGTTTTTAGAATTTTTGTCTGTCTGTCTGCATCACAGAAAAACCACTGCAGGGATTTTGATAAAATTTGGTATGGTGATAGCTGGTTATCCGGGTTAACATATAGGATACTTTTTACTGCGAGAACATGTCTCATTTCTGAGTAAAAATACAAAAACTGCAATGTAAGAGTATACCAATATGTAAAACCTAAGAATTTGGTTATTGGTCATCTGAACGCGAACGGAACCGCGAGCAATGCTAGTTCTATATAAAATTAATTAATGAAATACGAATACATATTTATTATCATATAGACGTAAAGTGTTTCGCTTATATCTGCTATACTATACTCTATGTATGTTTCATCAATATTTAACGTAAGTGTATGTAAATAACATTGAATTAGCAATTCTTGCATATATGTTTATTGTTTATATAAATTTATTTCGTGTATCTAGGAAACGGCAGTAACGATTTCGATCAATTTTTTTAATGTTTATCTATGTATATATAGGTTATACATTTTCCGAAAAACGCCGAGCAAAGCTCGGTCCTCCAATTGCGGTAACAAAAGTTCGACTGGTTATTAATATCAAAATTGATTTTTTTTTAAATATCACCTTGGAAATCATATATATGTATATGATTTCCAATCCATATGTATATAGACATGATATATTAACTATCTCTTTATACAAAAATACATCGTACATCGTCATACCACAGATCATATAATAGCATACTAGTAGTTAATTTTGTTATTACGTACATATAAGTAGACATGATGAAGCAAAATGATAATTATAATATAAATAAATGATTCCTTATAAAGTAATTACAGTAGGATCCATTTAGTTCCTAGTAGAATTTGTAGCAACTAACATGGAAATCGGAAACAATATGCAGAGGGCAAACAGTCGTCCCACGCGGGATATTACCTGTTGCAGTTTCTCGTTTTCAATTTCCTTCAATCTTTTCTATAGAGGGTTGCGTTGAAATGAACAAGCACTCGTACGTAGTTAAGTAGTAAAAATTATTATGATATATTTAATGATTAGGGTTATACCTCAAGGGTGATACAAAATAGAAAAAACGTCCTGTAGTAGATTTAGATTCTATGAAGTTATAGTTTTTAATGTAAATGTGAAATCAGCGTACTTTTTAAATTATATTTATAAAAGTATTAACATTAAGCATCATTTTATATTAAAATTAATTATTAATCAAAAAATAAATTTCCATCATTTGAATAAATCTTTCAAAAATGAATGTCACAATTGATTATTTGCACGATATTTGAATAAGCAGCTATTATATTAAAAGTAAAAAATGGTCTGTGTGTTTTTAACGAGTTATTCAATGAGAGAATTTGATCAGAAATGATATATCCTGTAAATAGGAGATGGAATTTTTTTCCTATTTATGGGATGGGATAATGAAATCGTAATAAAAACATGGTAACGTAATAAGAGTATAAACAAATAGAAACGAATAAACAAACCATCAAACAAACCAACAAACCTAATCCACTTTAATGATGAGTGAAAATTGTAATATTTATTTATTATTTTTCAGGTGTGTGGGATCCAAATGAGTTTCCTGTGGAGGACCTGGTACGAGCGGGCATGGCTATAACAGAGATAGTCCTCCGGCAGCCGAAAATTCAAGTACTGGGCGGAAATGTCATAGTTGACATGTCAGGACTCACCTTGAAACATGTATCCACTTTGACGCCAACTATTGCTTACCAGATCGTTCATTTATTGGGAGTAAGTTGTCCTATACAGATAAATAAAATTGAAGTGTCTCTTTGTAATGTCAGAATAATAGCTTTTTACTGAATGCTTATGAAATTGGTATGGTACTCATAAGAAAAACACAACTTTTAAAATTTTTAAATCTATAAAAACATAGAAATAAGGCATAATTATTAACTAATAAAATATTACTGAAAACAGGTTTATAGCAAATAGCAATGCATAATATTACCAATAATGAAGTAAATTTTCATGCTCGTGTAAATTAAGTTAGTTCGTTAAAAAGTACTTTGCATTGATTAAGAACTCGAGATAATTGACTTCTTGGAAACTTACCTGGCCAGTGCGCTTGGCATCCGGGACCACTATACATACCCGTAGTGATAAACTAAAAAAAAAAAACTCCGACCATCTTGGACTGATTTTCATCAAACATAGCTAAGAACACTCCCAACTACACATACACACACCCACACCCACACGCACACGCACACGTACACGCACACGTACACGCACACGTACACGCTCAGGCACACGCACAAGCACACGCACACACACACATACATAGCCTAGTGCGTTTTGACTTTTGGTGGTCAACTTTAGATGACCTTGATTATATATACATTTATAAACATCAATTCAAAAAATGCACACAAGATTAAGTGACAAAATTTTTTTATGAAATTATTTTTTTTATACAAAAAGAATATATTACTTTATGGTTTTCCACACATTTCAAAGTGCTTTGTGAAATGTAGTTTCAATTTTCATTTTCTTCTTTAAGAGAACCTTCTATAAAAGATAATAATTAAAGTTCTCAAGTAAAATAGTTAGAGAAATTAGTAAAATTTACATCTTTGCATGTTGTTAATGTAAATATTGGGTTTGAGTATCGCTGGGGGCATTCATTTGTGTGATGAGCACGAATTTTTGTACTCTAGTCATGGGTGTTTATATTTATAATATGTATGTACGTATTTAAAGTTATATATGTGTAGTGTATCAACTATCTCGTATCCATAACACAAGCCTCGTAGTTTACCACAAAAATAGACGGTGCTATGTGTTAATGTTCCATACATATTTATTTATTAATATTCAATATATTAATTCAAGTAGAGTTTATGTTTTTTTAGGTATCCATCCCAGGTCGTCTTCGAAGTTGTCACGTGATAAATTACTCTTGGATACTAAATACGGTTTTCTACATCTTCAAGAAGTTCATTCCACAACATGCTTGGGAAAAGATATTTTTCCATGGCAATGATTTAAAGAGTCTTCAGAAACACATACCTCCTGAATGCCTTCCAGAAAGATATGGTGGAACTAATAGGGGCCACGTCTCTATGGGAAAATGGTTGCAAAAAATTAAGAAATATAGAGATGAGCAATTTGATAAAGAAATGAAAGACTTAGGCTACGTTGTAAAGGAATAAAAGTAGTTTTACTTGTGTTATTTTCGATACAAGATCTTTATATTATATCGCGATATTTTTGTATTTTATAGAATTATTTTAAAATTTCTTTTGTTAAAGTACAAGAACAGTGCTGTGATAATTGCTTAAGTGGTATAGGGCTTACAAAAATGTATTTTTTTAATATTGTATTAATAAACTAGCGAATCACCCTCGTTTCGCTCAGGTTCGTCCCTAGATACATTTTGACGCTTAGTATGGAATTAATCTGCTATTCGGGGTGAAAACAAATCCAACAAAACAAAAATCATAAAAATCGGTTCAGCAGTTCTCGAGTTATAAGTGTTGTAACAAACCCGACTAAGTTTTACATACATACATATATTAGATTATTGAATAAATTATTTTGAACATGTAAATATGACGTTTCATTTATAGAATCAAATATTTTTTAGTGTATTTTTGAGTTCCACAACCATATAATTAGACCAAAAGCAGGTGGGCAAGACATTATGCTTATACATTTGAAATAAATTTATGGGTAAAATATAACACGTCGTAGGTATCACGTCCTATAAAATCGGTAAAAAAACGGTTTTATGGGCCGGGCCTATTAGCTCTCCTATCGCCTGCAGCGTGCGTCTATTATAACTTGACCTATACATTAGTAAGAAACACGTTTATGATATGGATGTTAACATTGTAACATGGAAAGTGAAGGTTCATGTAAATTTGGTGAACCCGATACGTCGATCGTGAGGCCGCAAAGTTATTACAAATTTCCAACGTACATTTCGCCGAAGGCTACTCTAAAAAGTAACTAATTTCTTCAATAGAAAATGAATTTTAATAATTATTGATAAGGTTCAATTTCAAAGTCTTCTTAAAGTAAAAGCTTTGTTGTATTGTGTACAATGTATATTAATTAACAGTTTGATATTTTATCTATGTGTAGCCTTCATACTTTACGAAATCCATACTAAAATTATAAATGTGAAAGTAACTCTGGCTATCTGTCTGTTACCTTTTAACACATAATCCGCTGAACTGATTTAGATGAAATTTGGAATGAAGACAGTTTGAGACCCTGGTAAGGACATAGGATAGTTTTTATCTCGGAAATCAATCGTAGTTATTCTCTTCATCTAAGGAATATTTTAACTATTTACAGTACTTACCTACTTTTCTATACTTATTATATATATTTATATTTATATATCCATCTATTCCATACTAACTGTTAAAATGTACCAAGCGACTAACTCGAGCGATACGAGGGTAAGTCGCTAGTAGAAATTATATTTTGGACTCAAGCGTTTAAAAACACTTAGAAGTTTTGCATTACATTTATTGTAATTGAATGTCCAACTAGAAAGTGAAGTCAAAAATTAAGCATAAAAACTTTAACATAGCTGTGTCACAAGTTGTTCAAATTTTTATTTGCAAAATAAACCGAAAAAGTATTTTATGGCACAAAATCAAAATAATGAACAAAGAATCGTTCGCTTAAATTTCATTTAAAATACCTACAAATAAACAAAGTTTACTAAAGAGATTCATCGTATTTATTTATTCTCTTAAGATATTAGAGCTATATACCTACGTTTACCTAAGGCTTAGGGTATCTTTCATTTTAATTTTTACAACTAAATCTATATCTAACATTGACTACTGCTAAGAATAGTTCAACATCATTTGGTCGAAATAATTTATATTATACTAGCAGCTCACCCACGTTTCACTCCGGTCCGCCTCTAGAAAAAAAATCTACTCCACAGGAACTTTACATTTTTCCAGGATAAAAAGTAGCCTATGTGTTATTCTGATGTAAGAGCTATATTATTGTAAAGTTTCATTAAAATCCATTCAGTTATTTTTGTGTGAAAGAGTAACCAACATCCTTAGGTACAGCTATACTTCCAGATATCCATAGATCCTCACAAACTTTCGCATTTCTAATATTAATGGGATAATGATGATGATATTGAACAATGATTTATCTCTTCAGATAGTTCTAAAAAGCTTTGAAAGGGCTACATCTATACTAATATTATATGTAAATGTGAAAGTTTGTGAGTATGGTTGTTTGTTACTCTTTCACGCCAGAACGGCAAAACGGATCTGGATAAAATTTGGCACTGAGATAGATTATAGTCTGGAATAACACATAGGTCACTTTTTATCACGGAAAAATTTACGGTTCCCGAGGGATAGATTTGTTTTAGAGGCGAACCCGGGCGAAGCGAGGGTGAGCCGTTAAGTATCCCATAAAACAAACTAATGAATTTTATAGTATAACTAAAATTTCACATTCTAATAACAATATGTCTTTTACAGTCAAAATGATATGATATTATTTAAAGTTAACTTTGCACAAGATATTCGGAGAAATATCAGGTTAAGCTATCAAAGCTTTATGTAAAAGTTTATAAAATATGTATATTCTTGCATATCTCGATGCACTAGACAGGTATATGTAAAAAAATTACAAAAATTTATAGAAGAAGATAATTCTAAAAATAAGAGCTTTTATACGATTCCTCGACAACGTGGTAGTAAAAACCGATATTTCATGATCCATCATGGGTTTATCGTCTTTACGTTATGAAATTTTAATCTACGGCTAGCACCCAATCATAAAGCACTTCAAGCTTTATTAAAATTGTATCTTTTTTCATTGGTAAATGTAATCTACTTAAGTACAATTGATGAAGAGATTTATTGTATAATAATTTTAACATTTAGTATATATAGATGACTGGCCGCTTTCTATCAAATCACCAAATTGTTCAGAGTGAGAGTGTAACACCTTAATAATTGTGTAACTATTGACTTCGATCTTAAAAAACCTTAAATAAACTTTAAAACTTTATTTTTGTTTTATCATTTTTAATTTAGATAAATATGCACAAGCATTAGAACTATAGGTTTTATATAAAATAATAGTTGAAAGCTGTGTGATTTATAAAATACTAGCGATTTACCCTCGCTTCGCTCGGGTTCGTCCATCTGGTGCGTTATGACCGTTAGCATGGATATCCCACGGGAACCGTACATTTTTACATTTTTCCGGAATAAAAAGTAATTTATGTGCTATTCCAGACTATAATCTACCTCTATGTTAATCTCCGTGTGTCAATCTGATCCGTTCGGCCGTTTCGCATTTATCATATTTATATGGGATTTAATTATACTTATGTGTAATAAAATTCTAACTAAGTCGAATCTGTACACTAAATATTTTTTGGAAAATCTTATTGAAATAGTCATAATTATAGATACAGAGGCCAAATCTATAGTTTATAGAATTTTGGTCTGTCTGTCTGTTTGTCTGTCTGGGAACGCATCACGAGAAAGCCACTGGACAGATTTTGATGACATTTGGTATGATGATAGCTGATTATCCAGGTCAACATATAGGATACACATCTGAGAAATCGATATTAAACGTTAAAACGTAACTAGAGACGAATCCGAGCGGAGCGAGGATGAATCGCTAGAATTTATATAAATAATAAAAACATAAATGTAAATCAAAGTGCTTTTATGTTAAAGAGAATAAATAACTATCTTACATGCATAATTAATAAATCTATATAAATGTAAAACCTACCACTTTATGTTTTGTTAATTTTGATTGATATAAATTTTTAAACTAACGATTTTGAAGTGGCGAATCTTTAAGTTTTACATAAAATATCGCACTGTTTTATTTATTTTCTTTTTTTTTTGAGACATATAATAACACCAATGCTGTCTTCTTATTTATTCTGGCGACGACCCAAATCCGCTTATCTACGGCCCACACTATAATCTCCCGAAACAAAAACTCATAACACTCTGACTCTCTTTTTGCACTGTCCAGCGTAAACCCATTGTTTTCTCAGGATAAAACGGAGCCCTATTGTAATCTATAAAATCAATAAATACCATCACGACTTAAACCTTCATACACCAAAACTGATTAAGTGTTTTTCGAGGAACCCCTTACTTTTCCCCTAATAAAAATTAAACTATATCTGTTATCCCCTAGAGGAAATTCTATAAAATTTTATTTCAGCAGTTGCGGAGATTAGAACAAACACAAACACACACGCATACATCCACGGACTTTGATACTATGGAAATTACCAGATGAACTTACCAGGCCGTAAAGGCAGCAGAAATAGAAGATTATTATATATTTCATTATTGTTTTCTCTACATATGCTCGCCCTCGAAGCGTTATTTTTATTCGACCATGTAAATATTGTCGTATTTGATATGGAACCTGTTTTTACAGCGGGCACAGTATAATGAATACACGATCAAAGAGAAATGAAAAAATAAATGTATTATTTTAGAATGTTTTTACTTTCGTACTCAAACTTAATTAACATTAATATATGTTATATTTTTTTCTACTACATCGCTTTTGTAATGAATATCTTTTTTTTTTATTCATGAAAAATATCTGAAATAATAATTTTATTGTCACTTTGTTATATTATTATAGTGTATAGCTACTAATATAGTAATGGACTTGTGTCTTGTGTTTGTTACTTTTACAAACGGCTAACAAATTAAATTGATCCTCAAAAAAGATACTAAAATGATTCTGTATGGAGATGAACGTTTTAACTAATTTCAAAAAAGAGGAAGTACTCAAATCGGGTGTTAAGTTTTATGTGTATTAATTAGTGAATAATATCTTCCCCGGCTGTAGAACAATTTTCATTATTCTTTTTATACTGCAAGTCAGTCAATAGTCAATTTCAAACCTTTTGAGGAAAAAAATAGTTTAAAAATAAATATTTTTTCATTTCTGATTAATGTAGTATAATAACGTTGTAGGAGTTTTATTTCTCCATTTTGGATAATCTTTTAAGTAAAAAAAATTCTGGACAATATTTTCAATGAAAAATTAAAGTACGGTACTATTTGCTAATATTGTAAAAGCTTTCTTTCTATAGTAGATCAGGATTGCTGGTTTTAAGAATATGTATTGATGTATATGAATATAGGGAATTACACTAACA